AGGTAAAAGAAACGATCGAATGGAAAAAAGGAAACCAGAAAAAATAAAAAAAAAAACGAAAGAAGGAAAAAGATGGCTAAATATAAAATGGAAAGCGTGAAAGAAAATGCTGAATGTAACAGATTTGAAAGCTAGCTATTGTCAGAATTTAATTCAGCGACCTTCTCAAAATGAAGTTGTTTTCAACGTGGCGATTCGACCGTAACTATGACAACGGCATCAGCTGTATGGCGAGTGAATTCAACAGCGAACATCAGACAATATTAAGAAAAGTAACAGATAAAAAGGAGAGATTAAGAAACATCACGAAAAAGGAAGAGGGAAAGGAAAAAGAGAAAGACAGAACAAGGAAAAGAAGGGTACGGGGTGTGGGAAAGAAAGGAAAATATGGAGAAATAATGAAGTTAAAGACACTGTTAGCATTGGCTTCCAGTAACTACACTATCAACAACAACAGAAACAATAACGACAACTATTACTGCTACTACTACAAATACTGCTGATGATAATTATAGTGACGAGGTTTTTTAAAAACTAATAAAATAATATCTCTGAAATTTTGTATAGAATTTGAGAAATCATTTTTCTTGACTCTTCGCATCGTGTCCGCAGTGTTAAAATTAGAGTTGCAAATACGCTGCCTTATATTAACAGAGAATTGATAATAATTTACAGGAAAATACTAAAATGTGCATTCACCATCTAAATTAATGATCCTCAATTTAAAAAAAATACGAAAAGAAAGACATTTCTATACATATTGTTAAACGAAGAATCATTCTGATGCTACAATTGACCAGTACAGAATATATCAGCTATAGTGCTATCTACAATTCTTCTTCTTATCGATGCGGGGAGTTGGGTGTTTAAATCCTTCCTTATCGAGCTTCAGGTGGTTACATTGGCGTCTACTTAAAGAAATGATCATGTGACTAATGTATTCGTTTGTAGCTTTATCTCCATTAAAAGTTTCACATCCTTGTATTGGATAACGGAATCCTGAAACCATTGAGGAAGTTCAACTGGGCTTATGGTGGAAAGATTCATCTATGTCCCAGGCGAGGACATATTTCACGAACGAGAAACAGCGAGTCTAGGTTTTTTCCCAAATTGTAGACTGCGAGCTGGAGTTTCATTCTCTATCTGAGAAAGATATATTCAAAAGGAAATGGCAACACGTAAGCAGCTGAGGAGACAGATGGTGGGCGAAAGAAAGCAACATTACTGTTTAGCTGCTGGAAATAAACTGAAATTGACTTCCACTTGCGTCACTGTATGGAGCAGTGTCACTAAGCGACATGACATCTTTAGCGAAAGGAGATAAGTGCCTTCTGTATTACCTACATCAACATAGTTGTTATAAAATAGGCGATGAGCGGTCAGTTCGTGGTAGCAAAGTAGTTGATTGAAACGGTACAGTAACTTTACTACAATATTACCTCCATCCAAAATACAACGAGTCTACAACGTTGTTCCGTGGTTGCTGGGTTCTTATGTTGAACATACATCAATCTTGCCCAACAAACCATCATCGAAGCCCTTTTGGCGGGTATTAACATTTCTGAGATCGGGAAAAGCTATTATACAGGTGTCGAACGATAAGTCAACACTTGACGATTGCATTCCAACAGAAATCTACAGAGTTGATAGCGGACTCTACTTCAAAAACATCATATGCTTTTAAATATACTTAAAAATATGTTTGTTTCCCAACCGTTCAAACATTCTTTCATCGCTCATCTCAACAAGTACAAGCATGATATATATAAATAAGGCATTCACGGAGAGTTTTCATTCATCTCGATCAATCACAAGATTCTTGTTCGCAACGATGAGACTCAACCTCAAATCCCGTCCCGGGTATGACGATAAACTACATCCGACAGCAAGGCCTCTAATCAGGAGGTTTTGAGGAGCGTGGAACCACCTCATAGGTGCTGGTGAACCACCTCTTAATTTCTGATGTTCCAGGTTCACCCAGACCCGGGTTGGTAGCACCTATTAGGGTCCCAGCTATGGGTAAAAAGTTAACACCCACAAAACTGGAGTTAAAACACTATGAAAGCGTAAGAATAAGTTTGAGTAACAGCAATACTTTTTTTTTAAAATATTACCAAGTGTAAATGCTTGAAGAAAAAATTATTACAAGCAATACATTTTTGGAAAAAAATATTAGCAGCAATAAATTTTTGGAAAAAATATTACCAGCAATATATTTCTGAAAAATATTACCAGCAATAACAATCTTGTCGGCATTAAATAATCCATTGAGGTTGATTTACCATAAAACAAAATAAACCAAGCCAATCTAAACCAAACAGTACATACTCTATTCATACGAATCTATCCTAAAAATCTTGTCGTCATTAAATAATCCATTGAGGTTGATTTACCATAAAACAAAATAAACCAAACCAATCTAAACCAAAGAGTACATACTCTATTTATACGAAACTATCCTAAAAATGTTGTTGCCATTAAATAACCCATTGAAGTTGATATGCCAGAAACCAAACCAAATCAACGTCAACTCAGATCTCAACTGAGAGCTAGGATAAAGACGCAGGAGAAAAGGTCGGTCGCTGCCTGTACGGCTTCAGAAACTACACAGACTCCTTCTGCCTTGCTACATCTCTACAAGAACCACATCAGACTAAAAATAGAGTATTGATGCTACATATGAGCTGCAGTTACCCAATCCAAACTATTAATCTCTGACCGTGTTCAAAACTGTTTCCGCGGCTTTTGGGGGATTAATTGTCCGCTCCTCCTACTACAAATTCTTTCCTACAGTAGATAAGTTGCTAACTTCTCGCTGCTTTCCTACTATTTTCATTACCGATGTTCATACGAGATACAATTTCTTGGTCCCACCTTTTCAAACCATCACATCTAGGATCCAACATGTCACGTACACTGAGCCGACACCCTTCATATTCCATTTTAAGGAGTAATTTCCAGTGAGCTTCTTCTTCAGAACTGTTGCAATGTGTAACGGACACCCAGGAGGATTCATTCCCTGACAACTACAACCTTAACCTGTTCAATTCGAAAGTCAACTTTTATCTATTCTACATAGTCTCATAATATAAAACCCCCACTTCCTATCTATACACATTTACATGAACCCCATTCAGTAGCCTTTTATGTTTAAAGTTACTTAGACTTTGTATTGAGTGAATGAGAGTCAACAAAATGTGTAGCTTTTCGTATCATGTTTGCTTTTGTTTTTTCCTAAAGTTTTTTTTCATCTATCTTAGCCAGTGTTTATATATTAAGTTATGGCATATATTAATCCATTTTTTTTCTGATTTTCTACGACTGATCTCGAAGAATAAGCTTTCGTTACATTTTTTTGTTTCTTAGTAACTTTGTCGTCTAATGTTGTTGAAATTTTATTTCAGATTAGCAACCCCTTTGGGATGGAAAGTCAGGTGGACAACAATGAGCATGCTCGAGAAAAATTACAAAAACATTGACTAAATCAAAATAATTACTGCGTCTATTAGGCAGTTACATATATTCGTTCGTTCTTTCCATTAAACTTTCCTTGTATTTTTTGCTTCTTAGTAACTCTGGTCATCCTGTGAACCTGTTGTCTAAAGTTATTGAAAATTTATTTCAGATTAGACACTCTTTTGAGATGTAGCGCCAAGTCAACAAGAATTAGCATGTTCCATATTTTCTCTTTGCTTTTAATAAAGTTTATAAAGCTGCTCGAAACATTAGGGCCGTGGATGAAGTTGACTTCATTACTAACAGAATAGCACATGAATTTCTTTCCCGTTTTAAAGAAGGTCATTTCGAACTCACAGTGTATAATCATCTTCAAATAGATGGAAGACTAGGTGGAGGAAAACCTTTTTTTTTCTTATATTTCTGATTGTAACGGGTATTCTGTTGTCATCCATACATAATATAATTTACTATTTCAGACGGCTGACACAAAAATGATGTTTTTTATACAGACCTTCTCGATGTGCGACAGCATCATTGAAAGTAAATAAATTGTATTGTGAAACAAACACCCAGGAAGATGCTAACCACTAGTCTTAACCTCTTCAAGTTGAAAGTCAAATGTTATCTATTCTACGTATCTTCATAATAAAAAACAAACTATTTTTCCTCCCTATACACCCTTACATGAACTCCATTCTGTAACATTTTATGTTTAATGTCAATTAGATTTTGTATTGAATGAATGAGAGTCAAGAAAATGTGTAACTTTTCGCAACACGTTTGCTTTTATTTTTCTACCAGTTCTTGTTCATCTGTCTTAGCCTGTGTTTCGATGTTAGGTTGTGGCATATATTCAACCAATTTTTCTAATGTTCTGCGACTGAGCTCGGAGAATAAGCTTTCGTTGCATTTTTTTTGTTTCTTACTAACTCTGGTCCTCCCGTGAAACTGTCGTCTAACGTTATTGAAATTTTATGTCAGCTTAGACATCCGTTCGAGATGTAATACGAAGAAGACAAAAATGAACATGTTCCACATCTCTTTTAAGAAGGTCACAAAGCTGGTCGAATCGTTTGTGATGTATACGGCAATGAAATGCTTGAGAACAACTAAACGATCAATGCTAACCTGTATGTTGAACAGGCGAACAGGCTCACAGAGGCAATTCAGTTGAAAAAACCTGACCAGCGATACAGTATAAATATTCGACATGACAATACTCGCCCCACATCGCTAACATGACGAAACATGCAATTAAGAAGCTGGGTTGGGAACTTTTACCACACCCACCATATTCTCCTTATTTAGCCTTTTCAGACTATCACATTAGTTGTGAAGAATGTTCACACCAACCATTACATTATGGAACCAACTCCCATGAGAATGCTTTCCCGAGTACTATAACCTTAAACTCTTCAAGCCCAGTTATAACCGTTATCTTTCCCACATATAAACTATGCTTCTTAACCTTTACTTTTATCCCTCATACAGCCATCTCCTTCAATAAGCTTTACCTTGAGTGTTTCTTGGGCCTGTGAGTCATACGGCCATATCAGGTTGATCCACCGGTTCTCGTACGATCTCAAAAGTTAAGCAAAGTCGAACCTGATCAGTATCAAGATTGGTAACGAATTGTGAATACCAGGTGCTGCGGTGGTGTAATCGAAAACGCCTCGGAATTGGAACATGGCAGGTGTGGCACTCGTAGAATGATCTAACACGAATTAAGAATAGAGATTTTTTGCCATAATATCATTACATACCATAGCTTTCCAAAAGATAACGAGGAAAGAGGGTCTAGAGAATTAGAACAGTACATATTAAAGGCAAGAGAAACAGATGAAAGTATCAAGTAAACTACTTAACGAGGATGACAGTAGAAGGATTAGAGGATTAATGGTTGAAGTTGAGTAGAGACATGCTCACCCCAATCTTCACAGATGAATATGACCATAAATAATTTAAAAACATACTAGAGTCAATAGATAAAAAACATATAAAAGTCAATAGTTAAAAAAAACATACAAGAATCAATAGATAAATAAACATACAAGAGTCAATAGATAACAAACATACTAGAGTCAATAGATAAAAACATACAAGAGTCAATAGATAAAATAAACATGCTAGAGGCAATAAATAAAAAATACAACTGTAAATAGTTAAATAATGAACAGAGAGAAAGAGAGAGGGAGACAGAGAGAGAGAGAGGGGTTTATCTAGATAAAAATAGAGATGGCTCCTTAAATGATTGTCAGATGGATTTTTACTTTTTCTCAATTTCTTTCCATAAAGCAACTCTCGACATAATGCCATTCGCGCACGTGTAATGCCGCCGGCCGTTTATCTCTCTTTTGTTCAGCGCAAGAACTTCCGAACGCAATTCTACAAGATGATATTGCGTGAAGCGCCAACGAATTGTTGCATTACTTGACACCATTCATTAAACAGCGTTTGGCAAATGCTCCCTCGAGGAACGTGTTCCTTCTGGGACATGTTCACTAATCACAAAACATGTGGCGGGGAAGGGTGCCACTGCGGATAATGAGGGCTAAAAGAGGCACAGATTCAATTTGCGTGTTTTGATAAACAAGATAGTTATTGATTTTTCTTTCAAACGTTGAAGCAGAACATCTCGGCGCCATTATTCACACAATGTTAGTGAAATCTTAGAAGCGTCTCTGAAGTGTATCCAAATCCTTATTGCTTTTGCAGTCGGCCAAACTGCAGTATATTTTTTATAATCTTTACAAAAATTTTATTAAGCATTGAAATTAGGTTTCACTTTTTATATACGGTTGTTCATTCAAGGCTAAAAAGCCACTCAAGGTAGAATCTTAATGAATATGGTTGGTGGAGTAAATTGCGGAAGTATAAAGTTCCTAGTCTGAGAATATGTAGGATTGATAATAGTTGGCTCTATATTTAAGGAGACTATAATCGTGGTAATCCAAAGAAAAATCTGCAATGTTATTGGTGCTGACCTTTCACCCCACTGTAACGAAGCTTCCATGTGTCTTTTGGATAAATACTTTCATGGTAAATGTTCTGATGAACTTTCCTTTGTGGTACCAAAATTTTGTGAATTTAAGCGCAGTACTAGATTGGCGGTATGGTCTCATCATTTTACAGATGAAATGGCTAGATGTAACCGTAAGTTCTATGCTAATAGTTTCTTCTATCGCACTTCTCGCTTGTGGGACTCTTTCCGTCTTCTTGTTTCCCGGTTAATTTTGATTTTCAAAAATTTAGATGCAATGTCAATCATTGTCTTTTATCTTCTTAATTCTTTTTTTTAATTGTCTTCTCTCCTTAATAGTAGTTTTTTTTTCTAATATTATCTTACACACAATAACCCCTTGCGTCTTAGTGGCTTTATTGTCTTTGATCTTCAAAAATTTAAATTCAATGTCAGTTGTTATCTTCTGTCATAATTCTTTTATTGTCTTCTCTACTTAATAGTAGTAGTTTTTCGCATATTCTCTAACATTCAGTAATCTCTTGCGTCTTAGTGGCTTTATTGCCTTGTTTGGAGTGAAATGATTAAAAAAATCAAGAAGCACGCACATGGGAATCTGTTACACTTTTTAACAATTCTGGAGAAGAAATTGTCTGTGTGGATCGTCCCCCCTTACTAATGGAAGAGAAAGTGAATTTCAGTGGATCTGCCAGGTCATGTACCCAGGTACGTGGCCTGGCAGACCTTAGATGTGGAGGTCTGAATTGATAAAATTAAGGAATGTCGCTCATTTGAACATTTGCCATGAACTATAGTGTATAGTTATACTAGCAACGTTTCGTCTGTGGGAACGGGACTGTCGGGAGGTGGGGGATAATTAATTACCCACAAGGTCGCGTAAACACTTTTAAACTCGGTTAGAGCTGATAAAAAGTAAAAACGGGGCAGCTCCAGCCCAGATATTCCATTTTGGATTCTGACTCTTGTACTTTCTGGAGCAGTTTAAAGAACCAACCATCTTCCCAGACTCTTTTGCGATCGTTCTTATATACAAGTTCCACTTGAGATCTGAGGTGAACTTTAGTTCCAATAAAAGATAATGAGGTTTTAAACAATGAAACTCACCCGATTTAAGGCCCGAGGGCCACTCCTGGTAGAGGGTTAAAGAGCAAGAGGCACAGTTGAAGCGAATAGGTGAAGAAGAAAGGCTATAAAAAGTCAAAATTTATAATTGTTAAGAAAAGCAAAAAACCAACATGCGAATAGCAATGTGGAGATACTAAAATTTAAACAAGTACAAAAATCTAAATCCCTAGGAATTGTTTTAACAGAAGACGGAAAATGCTGCACCGAAATCCGAAGTCGCATTAAGATAGCAAAAGACGCTTTTCAAAAGGTAAGCAAAGTATTAAGTATAACGAAAATTCGATTAAAAACAAAGAAGAGTACTGAACTGTTATATAATATCATTAATTTAGATCCTAACAAAGCTAGTGGTGGTGACGGGATACCAGCCATTGTCTTGAAGAAATGCGCGCCTGAACTGGCGCCCGCCCTTTCGAAACTATACAACTACTGCCTCAAGGAATCTTGTTTTCCTGACTGCTGGAAGTCATCTTCGATCGTTCCTGTCTTCAAGAACTCCGGTGACACCTCTGACCCTTCCAACTACCGTCCTATCAGTCTCCTTCCCCTCTTCGGCAAAGTCTTCGAAGCTCTAATCAATACCGGGGTGGTTAACCACCTCACATCCCATAATCTGCTTTCAGACAAGCCATATGGTTTCCGCTTTTCCCGATCTACAGCCGATGTGCTCACGGCCATCGCTGAAACAGTCTGCCGAGCTCTCTAAAATAACGGGGAAGCCCGAGCCGTGGCACTACACATCTCCAAAGCATTTGATAGGGTTTGGCATGCCGGCCTTCTGCGCAAGCTCCAGGGTTATGGCATTACGGGTCGATTATATAACCTAATACAATCATTCCTGTCAAACCGTGAATTGAAGGTCGTTCTCAACGGATTCTCCTCCAGTTCCTATCCCACGAACGCAGGTGTCCCTCAAGGCTCCATCCTAGGCCCCACTCTATTCCTTATCTACATAAATGACCTTCCTGACGCCGTAACTTCCCAAGTTGGGATCTACGCGGATGACACCACAATTTATTCCTGCCTCAAAACAAATCTAGTCTCGCTGACAAAACTCACCTTGCCGTGCGTCTCGAAAAGGACCTCCAATCGATTGTGAACTGGGGCATGAATTGGCTGGTCAACTTCAGCGCTTCTAAGGCAAAACTGCTCTCTATTAATCACCATAGAGAGCCTTCCCTTCCCTCCATTAGTTGTCTGACGTTCAACTTCTCGAGAGCAACTCTTTGCGGCTTCTCGGTCTCACGTTGACTGCTGACCTGAGATGGAATAAATACATCGAGTCAATTGCCTCGTCCACTGCGAGGAAAGTTGGCTCCCTGAGCCGCGCTAGGAAGTTTTTCTCCCCTGAGTCGATCCTCCAGATATACAAATCCACAATTCGCCCTTGCATGGAGCATTGCTGCCATATATGGTCTGGCGCCCCTTCTGCTTGCCTCGGGGTTCTTGATAGGCTCCAGAGGTGGATATGCAATATGGTGGGCCCTGCCCTGGCGTCTCGTCTACAGTCACTTTCTCACAGACGCGCCGTCGCCTCCCTCTGTCTTTTCTACAAATACTTTCATGGCAATTGCTCCGAGGAGCTGCATTCGCTGGTTCCCAGACATCATGAGTTCCAGCGCCCTACGAGGCTGGCATCCCGCTCTCACCCCTTCACTGTCGAAACTCCTAAATGTAGCCATCTCTTCTACTCTAATAGCTTCATGTCTCGCACCTCTCGCCTGTGGAACTCCCTTCCCTTCTTCTGTTTCCCTGTGAGCTATAATCTCCAGCTATTCAAGTGTAATGTCAATCGACATCTCCAGTTGCCTTGATCTATCCACTACCCTCATCCTTTCTTCTATCACTCCTATCTGATCTTGCTATTTTCTGTAACCCCTTGCGTCCTAGTGGCTTCCCGCCTTGCTTGGGGTGAAACGCTTAAAAAAAAAATGACAGTGAATACTGGACAAATTCCTCGGAGATGAAGAAGCAACTTGAGACACCGGTAATGTGGTTCTACAGAAGGCTGCTGAGAATACTCTAGACTAAACATTAGAGCAAAATGGAAACAAAAAAGAGACCTAAACTTATAATCCGGAAGAAACATTTGAACTTTCTATTGCACAAAATGAGGAAAGAGGGCTTGACAAATTGTATACCTACAAGGACATATTGAAGGCAAGAGGGATGGAGACAAACAACGCATAACATAACTTGGGAGCTTGACTGAATGTTGGACAATCTCACAGATGAAGAAGATACTGGAAGCAACAGAAGGATGATGAGAATACCGTGAGCAACGACTAAGTTTCAGAGATAATAGAAGCAAAAAGGACACTTATAATTAACACCAGGAAGAGACAGTTGACGTTTCTGGGGCACTTCATGAGGAAAGAGAGCTTGGAAAATTTGACACTCACAGGACAGCTTGAATGGACAGAGGGACAGAGGAAAGCGACTCATAACCTACCTAACGATTTTGATGTAAATGTTTAGCAGAACAGGGATTAAGAGATAGAGTTAAAAAGACAGACTTTACTAAAATGTACTAAGGACAGAAAGTTGT